GGCTCAATAGGTCTCCATCTACTCAACAGAAGCTGATCCTCTGGCTGCTTTCTCACACTCTCCAGAACTGGATCTACAGTACAGACTGTCTCCTTGCTTCTCTCTGAAATCTTGGGGTCAGTTCTACTCAACTTACATAAATTAAAGGAATCTGAAGTGAGCAGGCAAGTAACAGGTAGTTTGACCTCCCCTATAATATCACTTTGACTAGGGTGAGGCGGGGCCTCTACAACAGACTTACTCTCGACAACTGATCCTAACTGGTCAACTGATTCTAAACTTGGAGTGAGTGGGAATACTTCTGCCAACCCGACATCTTGTCTTAAACCATCCACTTGGCTAGAATACAATAGAGTCGTGGCTTTTAAGTTTCTCTCAACTCCTGGTATAACGTTCGTAGTGAGTGGGCAAGACAATGGTACATGGACATCCTTTCCCAATTTATTGGAATAAAGCAGTCATAGTACCAGGCTTACTCTCAACAGCTAGGTTGGTTACACATGAATCTGGAACAACCACATCCCACTTCTCCACTGAAGGGGTACTGGTTACTGGAACAAATACTTGAGTAACATCAGAACTAACAACTGGATTAATAATAGTACTGACATCAGCACAGGTAGGATGGATAAAACCATCTACTGCAACAGATTGTTCATTCATAGAACTAACTTCAGCACAGGCAGAATAAACAACAGGGTCTGCAACTGGCTGTTTACACAAACTGGGATCAATCTCACCCACAACATGATTTATGGCCACATCATTACCCAATATAACATCCACACCTGGGATGGGCAACAGGGTACTAACACTCTCAGTGCATAAACTTGGTGTAATGGTGGATTTTGAAGTAACATCTATCAGAGGTACAGTTTTACATCCTGCAACACTGAAGAACAACAAACTTTCCAGTATCTCTCTTTTCAACATTAGAAAGTATACTGGCAGAAATTAAGGTTTGGGAAGCACCTGTATCACGAAGACAAACCACTGGCTTCCATTTCTCATTAACACACAAAACTTCACCTGAAGACACATATGGAGAATACCGTTTCACCCAATTGGGGTTTACAGTGACATGTTCATTAGTTAATTTATTCTGCAGACCTCTACAATAAGTGAGACCAGTTGGTCGTAACTCGGGGTGCAATATAAAGCAAGAATTTATCACATGGCCTTTTCTCTTACAGTGGGTACAGGACCTTACAGTGGACACGCCTGTGGAACCAACTGTAGGTTTAGAATTAACATTTTTAATATTTGATATTCCTGACGATGAAGTAGCAGGATTAGTTTTTGTAAGAGAAGAGTTCATGGGAGTAACTGGAGCACTAGTACTGGATTGGTTCTGATAAGGAGTTCTGTGAGCATTATAATTTACTCTACAGCTAAACTTAGGTGATTGGACCTTAAACTGGGCCTTAGTTAACAACTCATGCTCATCAGCGAGCTCAGACAGCTCATAAATGTCTGTTATATTTTTCTGTTCTGCCATAAAAGTAGACAATTTATCTGGGAGACATGACAACACTTCTTCTGTTATAAGAAGATTCTTAAGAGCATCATACTCATTTACTGAAAGTGATTTAAGCCATCTGTTACAATAATTAGTTTTTAATCTGGTAAAATCTGCAATAGTTTGCTCGTTTACCCTCTTTAAGTTTCTAAACGTTTGTCTGTGTGCTTCAGGATTTAACTGGTAAGCATTTAAGATGCTTTTCTTAACAAAATTATAGTCAAAACTATTTTCATCGGGCACGGATGCAAAAACCTCCTGATTTCTCCCTTTTAATTGACTTTGCATGATTGAAACCCATTGATCCCTTGGCCAGTTCATACTGACTGCAATTTTAGAGAAATGTGAAAAGAAAACCTCAGGGTCCTCCTCATTGAACTTGGGTAACTCTATGTACTTATTTATTCTAATGGGATTACTATCATTATTATTAGGAACATTGCTAGTATTTCCATGCCCAGCTGCCATTCTCTTGTCTCGAGTCTGTTGTTATCCTCAGCCATTTGTTTTTGAATTTCTAACTGCTGTTTCTTTATTGCTTTGAGTTGCAACTGCACTATCAACCTGCTATTTTGTGCCTCAAGCTCTCTCTGTTGAGCTTCAACCTCTAATTTTTTCTGTTGGTTTTTAGCTTCAATCTCTCTTTGTTGAGCTTCAGCCTCTAATATTTTCTGTTGCCTTTCAAACTCACATTCTTTCTCTCGAGCTTCAAGCTTATCAAGTGCTACTTGCGCTTCTAACAAAAGACGCCTTAAAGCAATTTGCTCACTAGTCTCTTCTTTGACCTCCTCCAGAAATTCTTCCCCTAACTCACCATTTTCTACTAAATGGGTCACTATGACTCAGAATTTGTGCTTTAATCATTTTATTGTTGGCTGTTAATTCTAGCTTATTTGCCATATTTATTAAGGCAGACTTTTTTAGGCTTTTAATTCCCACAAAGTCTGGATTAGCCAACAGCGACACCACTTGATCCTCCATTGTTAACTAACACTTGGCACTTTACTGACTAAAATAATTAAACAGACTGGCACGGCACTACACACTTTACTTTAAATTGACACGACACTGAAAATTTGCATGGCCTCACTGCACAAACAAAAAATATGGATGACTTACCTCCAAAAATCATGAAGCGTAGGTTACTAGTTACACAGGACGACTCCGGCATGGAACACTAACAATTTTCTTAAAACACACAGATTCTTAGGCACACTTGTTCCTAGGAAGGCAAGGTTAGATTAGCAAAGTTTTAATATATATGTGGGAACAACATATCCCGGACACAGGCCCCCAAAATATGTAACGAAACTGTACTTTATGTCTCGTTGCACTAACAGAGATAATTAATGACTGGTCTAGGGACAAGAATGAGACTCTGTATCTAACTGTGTGCAACCAGTGTAAACCCGTCGTTTCGTACATACAAAAATAATGAGAAAAGAAAATCAGGGAAAAATAGCACACATGTATACAGTATAATAAATGTTTATATTAAACAATATGTGAATGTACTGTATAACCAATTAATATATCACTTATATACTAATAATCAGATGGTCATCAATAATTCTATACTCAACTAAAAGATCTCCACAGATAATTGTTACTACAGCAAAAACAGAATTATAAAAATACAGACACTTATCAGACACCAGTGGACACGACGCCCGCCTCTCAGTTACTGAGTAAACTTGCGGCGGAAGCCACTCCTCGCACTCCCTCAATACATAATGAATCGTAAATTTATATAAATTTAATTTACTTAAATGGAGCAATATAACTGGGCTAAGGTAAACATTAATTTAACTTAAATAAGAATGAACAAATTTACATGCATAAACAGAGGTAATGTAGTTTATAATAAACACAATTATTTATGGAAAATAATAAAGAGGAAACTGCTGGCAACTACACAACACAAGCTTTCCTGTACTCTACCAGGAAGTTGACTTGAATATCACAGGTCTAATACCTGACTAGTAATTCCCACTCCTGTCTCACTGACATTGCCAACTCATTATCATGAATTTATATACGTATCCGACTAGAGATACGTAACAGCTCCGAGGCTTCCCCAGAAAACTAGCGTTGAATATACAGTAATGAAATGCCATTTTCTGGGTAAGACTCGGAGGCTCCCCAGCCAACCCGTCCTCTTAAAAATAACGTCACTTTTGGCTTGTATGCGCACTATGGCCACATTTGGACGTAATTTTAAATGAAATCGACTCGCAAAAGTGATGTTCTGTTCCGTTTTCTATATGAGTCGTCCAGCTTACGCGCAGAGGTTATAAGAGGACACTTTAAATTAACGTTTTTCATAACGTTTTGAAACTATGAAAATTTCCTGCCCACCTAACCTATCAGAGGACCCTTAACTTAATGTTGTTGAAAAAAAAAATCCCAAATTTATTTTCATTTTTTTTTATTTTCAAATTACGTCCAAATTCGGCCATACGGGCAAACGGCCAAAAGCGACGTTCTTTTTAAGAGGACAGGTTGCCCCAGCTTCCCTCCCTCCGGTCGCCAGTGTTTTCGCGTGTTTTTGACATCCAGCCTAAGAACTGCCAGTTTGATCATCGGCACGAGGGTCTGGGGCTTCCCCCTCCCGGAGAGGGGGGGGTTGCACAGACAGCGACGCGGCAACGTGATGACGTCGTGCTTGTTTGCTAATTTTCATTTGGGGAGTTCTGTCTACTCGTTCGGCTTTCGGTAGCAATATTTTCACCAGAATAGGGGTTTATTTTGGGGTGCCTACCTTTCTGGGTGCCAGACCCGGTCGATGGCAGACGTAGAATGCTCCCAACCACACGGGGGATTCCAAAAGGCCATTGCTCTTTGTGCCTCTTTGAGGGAGCCAGGTTCTGGCTCGTGGTTCCCAGTAGGCAAGAACTCCATGCACTTTTGGCTGATGCCAGAAAGCTGATAGATACACATCAGCCTGGATAGCTCCGGGGAACCTCCAGGGTCTCACCCAGAAAATGGCCTTTCATTACATTCAACGCTGGTTTTTTATGTTTATTTAATATTGTTTGCAGCACCTTGAGAAAGGATATAGGTTGCATCCAAAAGTTTGGTTTTAATACACTTACATATATATTGGGCTTTTCCTACACTTTCATTCCAGCACTATGGCATTGTAGTAAGTTTCTCCACAATTTTAATTGGATAAACTGTACTGTATGGATGTGTACTCCAGCCTATGAATAAATAATAATTTTGTCTGAAAATACATCACAATACTGTATTTAAACCAAACAGTAAGTCCAGAGGTTAGCACAGTCAGCTCAAAGACAATTGGTCCCAAGTTCGCTTCCCTGGTAGGTCAAAATGTTTGGGAACATTTGGTTACACTGTTGTCTGTGTTCACCTAGTAGTAAATATGTACCAATAAAATATTTTCAGGCTGAGTAGGGTATAAATTTAAACTACCTAATAAGCCTTGACCAATCTGTAAATAGTTTTTGTTTTTTTCCAGGTACCAGTGGCTACAAAACATTGCCATTGTGGTCACCAGTTCTTTGAAGAGCGACGCAGATCAACTACATCAAACACTTCAGAAGTAGAAGAATTAGAGGACAGTACACTTAGGGATATGAAACCCACTCGTGGTGTAGCCACATCCAGCTCCGTTAGTGGACTGATGGCCATGGCGTCATCTGTAGGGAAGGGAGACTTGGGGTCACCAGCACCCGAGGGCAAGAGGCGCAGTGAACGAGTCAAAAGAGAAAAGCCAAATTTTTATGATGCATTGGAGTATGATAATCAGATGAGGAAGGTAAATATTTATCATTGTCCTTCACTAGCTTCTATTCATCAAGGTCTGAGTAGACCTGAGAAATGACATTGGAGACTACACAGTCATACCTTTGGCCTGTATGTGAGAATGAGAAGTTTCACAAACAAGTGAAAGTCAAGCATAAGTAATTTGAATAGTATGAGCATTGTGGTGGAATCCCTTTATTTGATGAGTCTTATAATCCATCCTATCATTTTCCTGGCTTAGGCTATATTTGCTTGGTTACGTACACTAAACTTTAGGTCTTCAGACTTCATTATTAATAGATCCTTTACATGTTGTTTCCTTCTATGGCTTGAAATTATAATGATTGTCTTGTACCCAGTATTTTGTTTAAAAAAGTATATTTTTACAATACCTAATTACCTAGAATTTATCACTGTTGAGCATCATATTATTTTCCATTGCCCAATCAAAGACTTTGATATTGTCTTTTAGTTTTCAATGTCTTCTACAGAAATAAATTTCATTCTGATTTTTGTATAATCTGCAAAGGATGACATGTAGCACTGCTTCTATTTTTGTCTATAGCTGATATGAAAATGCTTTTTGCTGTTCTTGGACTTGATTTTTATTTCATTGACTTACTCTTTGCATTCTGTTTGACAGGAATTTGAAAACCCATTGCCCTACTTTGCCTGTTATTCCTATTGGTCTCATTGTATAGGCTATCATTCCATGGTCACATTTATAAAATGCCTTTGCATAGTCCATATATACCTCATCTGTATTTTGTTTTCTTCTAATATCTCGGTGGTTTAGTCATAATTGTTTAGTAATGGCAAAAGGCAGGATTTTCCCACTCTAATTACGTGCTGACCTGGGTTGTGAAGTTCATTGTTTTCCATAAAACTGGAGATTTGATTTTTACTGATTTTTCAAAACTTTTAATTATGTAGAATGCTAGTGCAACTGGTACATAGTTTTTAGCCAGTCCTTTGCTACGTTTCTTGTGCATTGGTGTTCTCCGCTGATATAAGTGCTTCTGGTATCTTGCCTGTGTAAAAGCTCTTTCTCCATATTAAACTGAGTGCTCTGACTACTGGTACTTTACATTTCTTTAGAGATATGGAATTCCAGAAGTTAGGCTCTGCCCGCCAAAAACATAACGAAACTACAACGTTGCTACAACGTTCGAACAAGTTTTAATACCTCCTAACAAGTTACAACAACCAATATAGGTAGTTGTAACAACGTTCTAATACGTCATAAACACGTTAAGCCAAGATGTACTAGTATCAACTTTATTACAAGTTGTAACAAGCGGAAAATAAGAACAATTACGGTTTATGTTTCCAGGGTGGGGCCGAGTACATGAGCATATTGTTGCTTTCTCTTTCAAAGTCATCTGTGCTTGTGTTAATATCTGTTATATTGTCAGGGTTTTGGATGTCATTCATAAAAATGTTGTCCAGATCTTAAGCTGCCACGTTGTCCTTGTTTATTGGGGTGCTAATCATAGCCTCATACTGTACTGTTATTTTAGGATTTCACTCATTTTTTTGTTGTCTTCTGTGTATGAACCTTCTCTTAAAAAAATAAGTCAAATGCTGGTGGAGGTTTTTTATTTTGATTTTGTTTGTGAACAAATATTTAGTGGTTTTCTTTATCTTTTTAATAGCTTTCTGTTTCAATTTCATTACTTCAGTCTTGTGGGTGTCGAGAGTGGTTGTGGGTGTCTAGGGTGGCTTATGTTACATCGTCTAATTGTCAGGTGACAACTCATACAGGTTGAGTTGTGGGGTGGGGAAATCAAACAAGATGTTGACTTGTCTAAATACAATAGCTAGACTCTAGCCTGTTTATCCAGCTTGGCAATCTGTCTGTCTAGCTTAACACTTTCGCCTACCGATGACTAAGGATGGAGTCAAAAGTTTACTAGTTCAGTACCCACTGATGACTAAGGATGGCATCAAAAATTAAAAACATTTGATTTTGTGAAAACGGTGGTTTTGGACATTATATGCATTTACACCTGTATGGATTTTCATTGCGAACACATTGATACCAAAATGAAAGACCTAGGATGAGAATTGAGGTAATAAAGTTGAAAAAGAGCCATAAACATTTTATTGCTCTCTATTAGTGCTCACTGGGGTAACGCACCGTCGCTTGCTCTGTTTGCTGTGGGTGGTACGTCGGGCTTTTGGACTTTATATTTGCATATACACCTGTAGGGAATTCTATTGCGAACACAATGATACAAAAATGAAAGACCTAAGACGAGAATTGAGGTGACCAAAGTGAAAAGAGTGTACACATTTCATTGCTCTTTAGCGCTCCCGGGTAACACTCTCACTTTGTCTGCTTTGTGTGGGTGGTACGCTGGGCTTTCGGACTTCACATGCATTTAGTCGTGTAGAGAATTCTATTGCAAATACATTGATATCAAATTGGAAAATATAGGATGAGAATTAAGGTGACAAAGTTGAAAAGAGTATACACTTCTCAGTATTACCGTGCTCTCTAATGGACGGCCCGGCGCTCCTCCCTGCTCTCGTCAACTGCTTTCATTGCGTCGGCGGGTGGAGTGTGCCACGGTTTTTGACAATATATGCATATACTCCTATTTGGAATTTTATTGTGAACACAATGATACCAAAATGAAAGACATAGGACGAAAATTGAGGTGACCAAAGTGAAAGGAGAGAACACATTTTATCGCTCTAGGGCGCTTCCGGGTAACTTTCTCCCACTTTCTCTGTTTGCTGCAGGTGGTAAGTCGGGCTTTTTTGAGTTTATTTGTTTGAGTTCTTTAGAGCATTCTATTGCGAACACATTGATACAAAATTGAAAAACCTAGGACAAGAATTAATAGCCTGACTGTTTGTTGCTTGGTTCTTGTGGAAGGAAGGAGGAACAGTAATTGGTAAGTACTTTTACAGTAATATTAGTGTTAGGGTAAGTAATCATTGGATTATGCATATCATGTTAAGAAGATGGTGTTCATATTATCCTATGACATTTTAGATACTTTGCAACATTTTAAACTCTCAATTGATATTTTAAGGCCTCCATTAAACATCCTCCAACTTGAAAAGGGACTTTTTATTTATTGGACAATTTTCCAATGCTCATGGCATGATTTTTAATATGGCACGGCCCGCCCCATGGCTTTCATATCCAGACAGTTAAATAATTATCCGGCTGACTGTCCGAATAGTGTAACATCGGCAGCAAGTTAACTGGCTCCGATTTTTTATCCGGCTAAACCAGGTTTTATCCAGCTCCCATGGCCATTTTGGCTGGATATTGAGAACTATCCGTTCACGATTTTGGCCATATACAGTGGTACCTCGGTTTAAGAGTTTAATCTGTTTCTGGAAACAGCTTGTATTCCGAAAACTCGTAATCCGAAGCTAATTTCCCCATAAGAAATAATGGGAAATGAATTAATCCGTTCCTGACTACTTAAAATCCTCACTTCAAACTAAATTTTATACCTAATTCATCTAAATAAACCTACAAAACTATGTTCAAGTTATTACTTACCCCTTGCTGATGACTGCTGTTGGCATATGGAAGATGGTGAGGAGGAGAGGTGTTACTGTTTGGAAGAGGAGTCCCCTTCCATTATAACATCAGGCAGTGAGGACTTCACTGGTGTGCACTCTCTGGCACATTTTGCCTGCATACCACTAAGACTTGCTTGTCTTACTAAAAATCTGTCTAAAGACACTTGTTTTTCCCTACATTTTAACACTTGTCTGTAGTAAGACATCACATTGTCATTTAAAAGGTCAATGCAATGGCCTGCTACAGCTTTATCTGGGTGAGTTTTTTTAACAAAACTTTGCAGTTCTTCCCATACTTCACATTTTCTTAATCAAGAAGGGACATCCTCTACTGCCTCTACTCACAGCTATTTTCTTAGGTTGAACCTTAGCAATGGCTTTCTTGAGCCGCATGGAGAGATATATAATAACCACTTTTATGCTCAAATGGCCAAAAAAAAATACAAAAAACTGTAAATCCCTGTGAAGACTCCCCTGTCAGGGATAGTGACAGGGCGCGAGACACTGGTAAACTGAGGCACGATCGCCGTGCCACCATGCGCTAGTTGGCCTGTACGTGTATCAACAAACTCGTGTTCCGAGGCAACCCTCGCCTTCCGAGGCAAATTTTCCGAGCAAATCCTGCGCGTATTCTGAAAAACTCGTATACAGGGACACTTGTATTCCGGGGTACCACTGTAAAGGCGTTTTCCGGATGTTCGCATCCCAGATAATCGAGTGTTTACAATATTTTAAAATTTTGACCAAAAACTTATTTATAATCTTTCAAGTGTTCTGACATCAAGTTTCGTGTTAAATCTTTCATTTTGGTATCAAATTGTGTGCACTCTAAAGGCGCTCATTTTAAAACTATCCCGAAGTCGATCGGATAATAAATGAATTTTACACAAATATTTTTTTTATCAGACGCGCATCATGTCCGATGCTTGGACTCGAGAGAAAAAAATCGAACGCAAGTAGCGTTAGAAGAGTGCTATACTGTTAATTAATTAATACAGTATGACTCCAATCACATTTTAATGATTTTCATAAATGGACACAACACAAGAAGAAAGAGTTGGGCCTTTGGAGATTTTGAGCATATTTAAAACCAAATTCCTAGGATTGTTTTTATTTTGAGATACTGTACTTGGGTTGCCGTTCACTATAATATGGACCCTTTTATCTTTGAAAGGGAGGTTTGAGGATGAGAAATATGTTGGATGTTAGGAAATTCCTTTACAGACAGGTTCTTATGGTAGTTGTCCTTCATGTGACAGAGAATTTTTAATTTCAACCTTGGTTAAATCAGCCTATAGAGCGTGGGAATATTTGAGGATAAATTGTAACTCTCGATGTTACTCCAATAATGTTTTAATAATTTTTATAGATGGACGCAACATTAGAAGAATGAGTTGGGGGGGGGGGCCTTGGATAAGCTGTTGAGCATATTTAGAACCAAATTCTATAATTAATTTTCATTTCCAGTTGCCAAGGTTTTCATTCACTATAATATTGGCCCATCTTTCTTTTCAAAAAGTTTTGAAGCTGGGGCATGAGATCTCACCACATTTGGGAAACATGCTAGATGTGGAGAAATCTCTAGACAGGTTCTTGATAGTTGTCCTTCATATGATCGGTTGAAATTAAAATTGTGCTCAATGAAATTAGCCCATTGAGTGTGGGAAGTATTATGGTATGAATGATAATACTTAATATGGTTCTGGTCATGTTTTTAATTATTTTCATAGATGGAACCAACATTGTATCTCACAAATGCCATTCACTGCATCTTTTGTTGCAATGAATCCATCACTCCAACAAATCAGTTATTTTATTCTTATCTGAATGAACTAATTAATTTTTTGCAGCAATTGGTTTTCAAACGTGTAGACATGCATACTTAGCAAGGTAAGTCAGGATTTGTTGTAAAATCATTCTTCACACTTGACTAGATTTTTATAAGGTTAAAAACTCAGTGCTGCCGGTTGATTCTCATTTCCCATTTTTAATCATAGGCACGGAAAGAGAGACAAAAGGAGGAACCACCAAACCCAACTGGAAGGGTTAAACGGGAACGGAAAGTCAAGAACAACTCAGAGCCGGTTAGTGTTGCAATATACCGGTACAACAAGGTCAGTATTATATCCATTGGGAGGCGGAGTGTGTCCCAAAGGGTGAACACTACGTAGAAAACAGATGTGGAATCGGTCCTACATTCCACAGTGTTGGAAAGTCAAGTGGCTGAGAAGTTCTTAAAAGATTAATCCCCTTACTTATTAATATTTAAAATTTTCAATATAACACAACAAGATATAACAAAGACCACATTGTGCAATAAAATGAAGTGCATCTCTTGCCAGATTGAAGGAATGAAGTGAATGCACGATGTTAATAGTAGAATAGTTATTGTAAAGTTAGCATTTATTATCTTCTGTCTCACGACTTTCTTCAGACAATCCCAGACCATAACTCTAAGACTTATTTTATATTATTTTTCCTCTTTGGGACAACCTCCAACCTCATTCATAAATCTTATATTTCTTGTTAAGGCATGCTGTCATTAGAGCAGTGAGCATTGGAATTTTATTTGTTTTGGATACACATTTTCAGTTTGTATGTGAGCATACAGTATATGCTTGTGTATGTGTGTTTGTATGCAGCATATGCATGTGTATGAGTGTGTTTCTGTGTGTATATATATAATATTTGTGTGTGTATATAGTATAATAATGTGTACATGTTGTGTATACAGTATACAAATTTGTATGTGTATATAGTATATGTTGTGTATGTATGCAAAAGATTTCATTTTATCAAAATACTGTACTAATCTGTGTGTGTGTGTATAGCATAATAATGTGTACATGTTGTGTATACAGTATATACATGTGTATATTGTATATTCCTGTGTGTGTTGCAAAAGATTTCATTTGATCAAAATACAATGGTCTTCTTTGAATTGAACACATGCATGCATATAGGACTTCAATGTACAATACACTATAAGGGATTGCTTAACTCTTATCTACTGATGCGGGTGCGGAAGTAGCTCTCTTCAATTCTTGCATTCTGGAATAAATTAATAAATACTGACATTTGTTCCAGACCGTCACACGGACTTGGCCAACAAACATGACCTCATGTTTAGCTTTTAACTGCTTATACAAATTCAATTCATTGACTCTTAGTACTTGTGATTATGCTGTTGACACATTCTTCCACGTTTATCTTGCCGAAAATATCATTTTGATATTTAAAAGCAGCCGACTGGACTAACTTCATATTTTTCTCTTGACTTTTAATAAAATGAATCTTGTTTTTCTGCAGCTGATTCATCTGTTTGCTGAAAGTTTAACTGTGGTTATTGTGGTAATAGAAGGGAAGGTAATTATCAGGAGAAAGTGCCAGTCTCCTCTTCCATTAAAGCTGCTTCATATTTTAAGCTCCAATTCGATTAGTCTTGCTCTGAAGTCTTAATTCATTGGTACAATAGACTTGTAAATATATGTATTTCTCAAACACCAGGGGTCTTCATATATTGTTTTATGCCTTATAATATATGCCTGTTTGGGATACCATATAGTTTAAGTGTTTGTTTTTGATCTGGTGGGTATTCCTGAGCAGTTGCCTGAGCTGACAAACCATGGGGAAACACACCAGCCTCCTAAGACCCACTCAACACTATCACGGCTAGGAACAAAATTTGGCTCTTTCTATGAGGTGATTTCTTTCTCAGAAATCAATTCAACACTGAAAAAAACTCACCAGAAAGCATGACTGCAACAAAGCAAACAACTTTTCCAAGACAATTGGGTAGGGAAGGTAACGAGGCCAGTGTTCATTGCCGTGTTGTAAGCACTCTAATCAGGAGGCATCTGATTGCCACTAAATGGCAGCCCAGGTGACCTGGGATCCCAGCCAGCTTGCATGCTCACTCACCTGGTTGCAGCATCAGGAACACTGAAAAAATAAGTTCTTTTGGAGGCCACTATTTTGTTATTGTTTGTGTTCTCCTTCATGATTATTTGTCACCTACATTGCATTTCATGGGCCCTCTAGCTTTGTATCTTGTTCTGCCTGTGGGGCCAGGGTTCCTTTGGTAGTTGGTTAGCATTTTCCTTACCCAACCAGAAATACTTGTTGTGAGGGGGCTCAGGTTCCTCCTCGGTGAGCTGGCTCTTGAGTCATTTCACTTCCAGGTAGCACATGAAACTTGATCTCTACTTTGAGACCCATTGATGAGTGTAGAAGTTAGCTGTATGTTGTCTAACATGCTCAATCATGCCTAGCCCAGCTCTGTGTCTGTGATGGGGCTTTATGCTTTCATTGAAGGTTTAGTGGTCTTGATGGTACTTAAGCACATCCATCTCCATCAGGGTTCTGCTCTCCATCTTCACTCACATTACACTACAGTGTGATGTGGTCCATTGGACCATTGCATTACAATGGTCCATTACCACGACATGCAGGGAAAAGGTCAGTTTGATTCGTTGTGGGGCTGGAATTTTGAGGATAGCCTTGCTTCTAGCTTCTTGGTATTTAGTCCTCATTGCAGTTCATATTTGGGAAATGTCACATGTACTTGCAGATGGTCTCTCTCACTTGTGTCCAATCTTGACAAAATTATCGGTGGATAGAGCCTCCTTTATTTGGCTTTGCAAGACATTGTCATCTACAGGTTTATCTCCACATGAAGTAGGCAGCTTGTAAAGTATGTGGAACAAGCAGTTCCTTATTTTATTGCACTTATGCTTTGTGTTGAAATACTTAATCAGTTTTAGGTTAATCTCTGATCCCTAGCTCACCTTGTGGAGGGAATTGGATTCTGGTCCTGGCTCCTGGTAGGCACCAGAGGCCTGATGCATCTTAATGAGGTTTGGCTGGACTAGCATTTAGCTTGGGGACTTACTGGTGGCACCACCAGAAAAAGGCATTTCATTACTTTCAATGCTTTTGTTATTTATTTTTTTGGATTTCTAGAAAGCATCATATTTTTTCCAACAAAAAATAACACTTACATATGTAGAGACAAACCAGTAAGAATAGACTTTATTCATAGATAGTGTTTGAACTGATACATTCGTGTATCAACACGTCAAGCAGGCCACAAGAATGAGGGAAGGGGGATGTTTTGTCAGTACTGGATCTAATATTCACCAGGAAAGAAAAGGAGATGTTTGACATCCATTACCTTCCTCCCTTAGGAAAAAGTGATCATGTCTTGTTGTAAATTAAATATCCTTTGCAATTTAATCTAGAAGAGAATGGGGATGTCGAAACAGTTGATAAACTCAATTTCAAGAGGAGGACACTATGGGGAACTTAGAAAAAATTTTAAGGAGTTTAATTGAACAGACTTGTTGCTAGGCAAGGAAGTAAATGAGATTTATGCCAAATTTTTTGAAATATACAATGAAGGCACACAGACATTCAGACCAAAACAGATGCAGGACCAGAAAACAGGATTGGTTCAACAGAAATTGAGAGAGGGTCATAGAGGAAAAGACAAGAAAACGGGTTCAGTATTGGAATAGGCCTAACCCGCAAACATACAAGCATTATAATTAAACAAGAAACAATTACACCGCAGTGAGAAGAGGCAGAAAGGAACTTTGAGAAAGGTATAGCAGACACATGTAAAACAGATCCAGGCTTTTTCTATACATTCATTAAATGCAACCTACATGTGAAAAATAATATCCAGAGATTGAGAATGGGGAACAGGACTACTGAGAATGAAAAAGAAATGTGTGAAATGCTAAATGAACAGTTCCAAAGTGTGTTTATACAAAATGAGGATTTCAGGGAGCCGGACCAAATACCAATTCCAGAACATGCCATAGAATACATAGAGGTATCTCAAGACGAAGTGGAAAAATTACTAGTGGGGCTAGGAAGAAATAAAGCGGTTAGACCTGATGGAGTTTTACCCTGGGTGCTGCGAGAATGTGCAACTGAGCTGAGCATTCCACTCCAATTAATATTACAGACATCCTTGTGCTCAGGAATCTTAGCAAATATATGGAAAAAGGCAAACATAGTACCAATTTATAAAATTTGTAGTTGAGAAGGAGCTCTAAATTTTAGACCTGTCATTAACAAGCGTGGTAGTCAAAGCACTAGAAAAATTTGTTAAAGCCAAATGGGTTGAACACCTAGAGAGTAATGACATAATAACGGACAGACAGTATGGTTTTTGAACAGGTAGATCCTGTGTAACAAATCTACTTAGCTTTTATGATAGAGCCACAGAGATACTACAGGAGAGAAGTGGTTGGGTTGACTGTCTATCTGGACCTAAAAAAGGCTTTTAATAGAGTCCCTCACAAGAGGCGGTTCTGGAAACTGGAACATGCTGGAGGGATGACAGAGACACTTCTGACATGGAAGGAAAACTTTCCAACTGACAGACAGATACATCAGAGACACTGTATCTGATTGTAGGAGTATTACTAGTGGAGTACCACAGGGTTCAGTTCCTGCATAAGTAATGTTCATCATGTGCATAAATGATCTACCAGAAGGAATACAGAATTATATGAACCTATTTGTGGATGATGCTAAGATACTGGGGAAGATAGGAGATGCAGACGATTGTAATGCCCTTCAAATTGATCTAGATAAAATATGTGCTTGAAGCATCAAGTGGCAAATGAAATTCAATGTGAATAAATGCAATGTTATGGAATGTGGAATCAGAGAAAATAGACCACACACAACTTACAAATTATGTGGAAAGGAATTACAGAACTCTAATAAAGAACGAGCTCTAGGGGTGATTTTGAATAGTTTATTGTCGCCAGAGGAACACATAAAGAACATTGTGAGAGGAGCGTATGCATCGCTTTCCAACTTCAGACAATTTTAATTATATGGATGATAAAATACTAAAGAAGCTGTTCATGACTTTTGTGAGACCAATTATAGGTCTCACAAAAACTGCTGCATATTGGAATATGCAGCTGTTATATGGTGCCCAAATCTCAAGAAGCACATAAACTAGAAAAAGTGCAATGGCATGCTACAAAATGGCTTCCTGAACTGAAAAACAAGAGTTACAGGGAGAGACTAAAGGTGTTAAACATGCCAAAACTAGAAGATAGAAGAAAGAGAGGTGATATGATCACCACTTACAAAATACTAACAGGAATACACCAAATTAACTAAGAGGAATTCCTGAAACCAGCAGCTTCACAAACAAGAGGACACAGATTCAAGCTAAGAAAACAGAGATGCCAAAAAAAATTTAGAAAGTTTTCTTTTGCAAACAGTGGTAGACTGTTTGGAACAAACTGAGAAGGTGGTGGAGGGCAAAACTGTCAGTAGTTTCAAAACGTTATTCGACAAAGAGTGTACTGGGAAGATGGGACACCACGAGCGTAGCTCTCATCCTGTAACTACACTTAGGTAACTACACCCTCACTCAAGCCCCAACCACACATTACCAGCAAATTATGAACTACAGTGTAATCTGTAATTAAAATTACACAAATGTCATTTTGAAACTACTGCAGCCCCTTTGATATACTTTTTCATGCATTTGTATTATTCAATCATGTAACCCCGTACTCTTTGCCATTCTAGTAAATGCAAATTTAGAAAGCTAAATTTCACTTTATAAGAAAGGTTTCTAATTCTAGAGATGAACTTTATAAAGGAGTTCCTACAGGAAGATCACTAAGATACTTATCCCGAGATAAGACATTGAATGAGATGATGAAATATGTAGCCCATAAATTTGCAGAGGCCTGGAAGAAACAAAGTTCAGACAAAGCCTTAGTTCTTCTTTTAAATGAATCTCCTTGGTGACCCTGTGATGGCTATGACTGCTCTTGCTGCTCTTTTTCTTCAATATTAGTACACTACTGATATTCACTTGCTGTCTACATTTCACTCACTTTTCACCTATTACAGTATGGGTTAGTGAATCCTAAAATTTGGATTTTTTCCCTGTCCATTATTCTGGTAATTGGAAAGTTGTCCGAGTTGCCTGAAGACATACTCAGAACCAGAATTTGTTCAGGTTACTGATAGTCTACTGTGCATGCAGCAAATTGTATTCCAGAGTTAAATACTATGAAAAAGGCTCAAGCTGCTGGAAATTCTCCCATGTAGACACTATGCCTTAAATATGCATGAATTGCTAATGTTTATACAGTCTGTTCCTTGGCAGACAATTACATGCACATAATATTTGGCACAGTTAATTATACTTGAGTGTGTCCGCTAGTTTTAGAGTGAGTACAGTTCATGTGTAATGTGTTTGAGCACTGGTGGTGGTGGTGTTTTTGGGCCATAGTGCACTTTCACAACTGCTTATTTGATGAATATTGAATTGGCAGAAATTCCTGTTCTTATTAAATTTCATAAATTGTTGTAATATTTCCAGGATGAGGATGAAGATGACGAACCAGTGAAAGAGAAAAAGAAAAAGAAGAAGAAGAAGAACAATAACAATGGTGAGAAGAAAGAAGAAGAAGTGGATGAGGACATTATGACAGGTATAAGTGTTGAGAAGGAAAGGCAATATTCTATTGTTCTTTCAGATATCAATTTCAAGCTTGGCTTAAATAACCCAAAATTTATCAAGATATAAAGTTAGCATTATGAAATTGCCATAGATGTTTCAACATTATTTCATTCATAATAAATAAAAACAAGTTTAAACAGGATTGAGAAGTGTAAAAATACATAGCTTTCTTGTTGGATAATTTAGGAAATTTTTCCTTTCACTAATATGGATGTCTGCATAAAATTCTTTGATGGTGTGTTTAGTGTGATTGTTACAGCTGGTCTCCGAACGTTAACCTTTGTCTCGTACCTGCGGTGGTTCTGGGGGTTAATCTTCTGGCAGCCATGACTGGCCTGGTCTCCTGGCTGACGTCTAATCAGTAAACTTGTGTGTTTTTTTGCAGTACAGCACTAGCACTCCAACCTGGCTAATCATGGATGGTTTACATAAATGTATCAGTTTCTAAAGACATTTTGGGATCAGCCATAAGCATAAGTACCACATTACTGTACTGAAATGTTTTGTCTGAGCTTACCTGTTCTCATGCCACCTGTTAGTCATTCTCTCCAGTTGCCCAGACCATCACTACATTATCCATAATATTACCTTATAAACACTTCTTATTATTATATAAATCTACTTCAGCCTCACATTTATTTTATTGTTTCATATTAGAGAGAAGAGAGAATCATCATATTAAAGTGAGATGAGGTTTTTTTTTTTTGGGGGGGGGAGCTTTTCTAGTCTTGGGCTTTGGAGAGAAGAGACAAACTTCAAACGTGTTACATATCAGAATCCAAGTGTAGTGTGAATGTGGCATTCAGCTGTAACTGAGAGTCGAGTAACTGCTTTTGTTCCTTACTTACTGTTGTTGTTGGCATCGGTGAAAACCGCATTGCACTGCTGACAATTCATTATACTGATAAACCAACACAATTTTAGTGCTGGGTTTAGAGCCCAAATTTAATTTAAGAAATACATTAATTGCAAACACTATCCTTGTTAGGTATATTAAAATCCTTGTCAGGTATATTAAATTAAAACAAAATCAACACTAATGGCTGTGATAAACTAAAGCACATTACATCACGTATTTGCCAAGTTTACCAGTGAGCTTTGACACAAAACTGTTTTGTCATAAAGCTTGATATAGGCATGTTTGTGAAGGGACTCCTCATTAATCATGGTATAGGCGACATCCTCCAAGACATTGATGACCAATTTGTTTTGGATTGTAAGGCACAACACAAATTTTATAATAAGTATTATAAAGGTAGCATTTGTAAAGATAATAGACAATACAGAAGAAATAATTAAGGGATGAAGCTATGGTATCTGACTTTAATGCATTAAAATATTAAGATATTTTACAAATGCAGACTATGTATTTGATGACATTACAGTTTGGTAAACTAGGAATGAGGTTAACTACAGCAACATTATAGTGATAATCCACTCAGTTCAACTCATCAACTATACAAATATGCATATAAATGCCAAATGTAATCACGTGTTTAGAAGCATTGAATATTGGAAGCGCTCATTAGAACATTGCATTTTGAATGGTGATAAAATGTGGTGAAGTATATAGTGAGATTTTGTATATATTTAAGCCTATTTATATTTTGTATATTTAGGCCTAGTTAAATTTTATACATGTTTATGCCTAGATTGGTTTTGTACATATTTAAGCCTAGTTGGATTTTGTACATATTTAGGCTTAGGTAGATTTAAGCTATGCATAATTTTGAAACATGTTCTAAATACCTTTATGGTTTGACCCTTGCCACACATTGGAAAAACAGGTTGCAATATTCTGTGTAAAAAGACAAGTAATTTAATGGTGAAGAATATAAAAGTTAATGACATGTGAAACATAGCATGCACTTAGTCCACCTTAATAGTTCTCTTTAACCACTGCACTGCTCTTCATTAAAATATGACAAACTCTTAGTGTGCAGAAAATAAATTCTTTTCAAAAATTTTTCTCTTCTTATATTGTTAAGATGTAGTCTCTAATCATGGGAAACTAAAAAAGATAAAATTGTAGGATACTTTAGCCGTGATGGAGCTGGGAAGTTATGGGCGCTGAGCGATGGAGCGCTCAAGGTCACTAGGGCCCCGCCACCCCATGGGGCGGCAGTTGCCATGAACATAATGTTCACAATTATTTTGATGTTTCTCATTTGTTTCTTCTCTGGTTTTTGCTGTGATATTATTCAAAAGAGAGTAATTTGGGGAGTTTATATAGTTCAATGTGTGGAATATCGTTATGCTGAAAATTATGGAGCTCATATATGTGACGTGTATATTATATTCTATGATCAATCAAACTGTGTTTTTGCTGTTATTACACTATATGCACATATTGTATATGCCTATCTACATGTGTGTTCACCATAACGAACCATCAAGTTGGTATAGTGAGCCCAAAACAACAAGAGTGGCCGTGACACAGCAGCCAGCAGTCTGCTGGCTGACTGCCTCCAACCTTCAACACCCACTGACAAACATTTTGCCTCCCACCATACTGTTATTGTTTTTATTACACTATTTACAAATGTTATATATAAGTATCTGTGTGTTTTATTCACCATAAGTGAACAACTAGGCTGGTATGACAAGAGTTGAGGTAATAAGAGAGATCACACCACACACCGCTGATTGCTGCCTCCCTCACTGGTTCAAGGCCAGACCCACTAACATTTCTTCCACAACAGTACTGTTTGTGGTGTTATTACACTATATACACACAATATATATATATAAGTATTTACATGGTTTATTCAACATAACTGTACAACTAAGCTGGTATGATGTCCAAACAACATAGTGGCCATAATATGACAAGTCACACAGCAGGTAGCAGATGACAGCCTCACTCACTCCCAAACCAAAATGGTTCCTCCCAACAAACTCCTTTCGCTGTTATTACACACTATACACACGTTATATACAGGCATCTATATTTGTGTTCACCATAGCGAACCACTAAGCCGGGATGGTGATTCCAGACAATAACATGTTGCCACACCAGCAGCAGATAGCACTATCTCCCTTTTCCCCTTACCAACAATACTCCTCCCACCATTCTCTACACACATCACTAATTCTCACCACAATCCTGCTATTATCAGAATCCTGGTCACTAAATCATGTAAATGAATAATTTTCCACATGTTTATTTTGTAATGGAACATGAGAAGTTGTTTGAAGAATTTTAGATGGACGAAATAATGGCAGTGTGGTGTGCTAGCGCTGTGAATGTCTTGAACAGCATTTATTCACTGATATCTGAACATTGTACACAGTCTTTTATCACAGTCAGGCTCTTCTGTAATGCTATTATGGCTATATAATACCAGATACATACATACATACATATATATATATATATATATATATATATATATATATATATATATATATATATATATATATATATATATATATATATATATATATATATATATATATATATATATATATTATATTTATTTATTTATATTTGGACATTTTTAGATGATGTGGTCAAAAGCTGAACAGCAATGCTGTTAGCTCATGCTGCATGCCCCAGCTTTGGTTACTCACTCAATACTGAGGCCTTCACACCTGGGAATGATACCCACGATATATTTTTTTTTTTTTTTTTTTTTTTTTTTTTTTTTTTTTTCTGTTTAGGAGAGCCCTGAGGAAGCTGATGTGAACCCTGTGTAGCCGCAGGATTTATGAATGATAAACTATACCTATGAGATCCGCGAGGCGCATTGCGCACCACCTGTCGAGAGCCTCAAGGCGCGTGACACAGTGCAGTGGTTAAGGTGAACTTTGTTGTGAACCTCTCTCACTGAAATAGATGGTTTCAATAATTATTAATATGCATAAATACGCTCCCCCCCCTCTCCTTCCCCTCTCTCTCCCCTCCCCCCATCCTCTCTCTCTTTCCCCCCCCCCCTTCTCCCTCCCCATCTCTCTCCCTCCCTCCATCCCTGCCCTCCCCCCTCACCCTCCCTCCCCCCTCACCCTCCCTCCCCCCCATCACCCTCCCTTCCCCCCATCACCCTCCATCCCCCCCCCTCACCCTCCATCCCCCCCCCCTCACCCTCCATCCCCCCCCTCACCCTCCATCCCCCCCCCCCACCCTCCATCCCCCCCCCCCTCACCCTCCATCCCCCCCCCTCACCCTCCATCCCCCCCCTCACCCTCCATCCCCTCCCTCCCCCCACTCACCTTCCATCCCCCCTCCCCCTCCCCCTCCATCCCCTCCTCCCCCCCACCCTCCCTCTCCCCCCCCCCTCTCCTCCCCCCTCCCTCTCCTCCTCTCCCTCTCTCTCTCTCTCTCCCCTCTCTCCTCTCCTCTCTCTCTCTCTCCTCTCTCTCCTCTCTCTCCTCCCCTCCCTCTCTCTCTCTCTCTCTTTTTAAAGGTACTTTACAGTAAACTAAATTTGTATTTAGTTTGTCAACCTGTAGAAATAAATGGAATATTTACCATACTTTAAGTGCAAAATAACTTGTGTATTTGGGATTATGTTCCAATTTTCATTGTTCACTTATAAAGAAAAATTACCATATTTTGATAGTTGAAGAATATTAGTACAAAGCCTTTGGCTGTAGTTTAATAATAGGGAATAGTTTTGTGACCTGATGACTTTTTCTTTAATAGTTATTAGTAATTGTGCTCATATGTATATATACATTTTTATACTATGTAGTGATTAAATGTTGGGTGATTGAATTGTAATAAATTCTGCCTTAACTCTTGACTGATATAAATAGGTTTAAAATAATTCACATGGTTTATTGTATAGTAATAAGAAATGTTATGCATAGTTAATATGAAAAAGAAAATGCAGTGTTGATAAATCTAGTCATGAAATCATCTGTACAGTAAATTTATCACACTTTTCAATAAACTAAATCAATATGATGGAAACTTGTAAAAAGATGATTTGTATTATCCCTTGAAAGTCATTTATGCAATGTATCTCATGTTATTCATAAGTAATTATCAAAAGAAAGAGCCAAGCCCAAAAAATTGAATAGCACCATTTGTGTAAGAATATTGAAAGTTCATTCAGGATGCCAGTGCTTAAGCAGAGAGGCAGGGTACAAGTAAAGTCATTGGAATCAGATTCTCAGCAGATTTTGTGGAGGAACATCTGATTAGAAGGAGCAGTGGGAAAACAGATTTTACTCTCATTCTGAAAATCAGGGCATTCTATGAGGTTGTGGAGAGCACAACAGTTCTGACAGTAAGGTGCCATTAAGTACCCACAGTTAACACGTTAATCATGTGGCTAATGTACATAACCAACCCAGAGACTTTGCATGAGTAAAGCATTTACCCCTAATACAATTCTAAAACTCCTTTTCCTTGCTCACTTTTCTTCACTCCAGCTTCATCTTTGTCTTCACAGATGGGTCTAAGTCTACTGGCGGTGTAGGTTACTCCGTTGTAATTCCTGACTGAACCTATATGCATCGCCTGCCTCCGGAGACTAGCATCTTCACGGCAGAAATTTATGCAATTCTGTATGCTCTTGTCAACTGCTTTCTCACCGTAATTCTTCCTTTGTTGTTGTCGTTGACTCTTGCAGTGCTCTCATGGCTCTGGAGTCCTTTAATCCTGTCTATCCTGTGGTCATTGAAATTCAATATTTGCTGTTTATCTCCTGCTGATTTAAGACAGTTGAGTTTTGCTGGGTTCCCAGCCATATTGGTGTTTCCTTAAATGAGCGTGCGGATGCTGCCACGAAGGAGGCTATCCGCACCCGTCCCATTTCCGGCAAGGGTGTTCCTTGTTTCAACTTCTACCCAGTTATTCACTCCTCCATCTGTACCCATTGGCAGGATTGCTGTTCTTCTGTTACTGGTAACAATCTTCCTTAAATATAAGGAAGCAATATGAGAATAGACAACAGAACAATTTCCAGTCAAGAATGTAGCACTCAGCATAGGCAGTTCTAATCATCTCCAAGACGCTACAACTTCGACACAGAACTGGCAGCAGACCAGGACTGCATCGAGCTACAACGCTCTCCCACATAGAGCTCCGCGACTCCAGCCTCACTCAGCTCTCTGCTCTGCTCCAAGCTCCGTCTCAACGTCTACAACACTGCTGTATCCAGGACTACTAAATAAACATGAAACTCGCTAAACACTGTGTATCTAATCTACCCAAAAACGTATCATAATTGTACATTACAAGATTTTATTTTATTAGCAAGGAAAGATATTCATATTTTAAAGAGAGTTTTTTTGATTGACGCTCTCCATATCGATGGGAACTACGATCTTACGAAGATCACTTAATTTTATCTAGATACTGTAATAAATGCATTTTTTTATATCAAAGCCAGACATATAAGCTACCATTTTAAATCCTTTGTATATAACTACAAGACGGATGACAATTCGTCATCAAACGCGCATATACTACACCCCAAACTACCACACTCCTTAGTACAACGTCCAAAACTGGACAAACCATTGCCAGAACAGCACACACTGGGTCAGGGTGGAGAGGAGGGAGAACTACCAAAACCTTCCAGAAGTGACACACACTATGGAAAATCATTCATATTTGTGAACATACAAGGCCTAAAGTCAGAATCAAGAAATAAAGTTGTTCATAAATGGCCTCCTATTAAGAGTCAAACTCAGTATTTGGGGCATTCACGGAAACTCGTATGAAAGATTACTTGAATAGTGAAATCTGGATTCCAAATTATAATTTATATAGATGTGATAGAGAAACTAGGTCAAATGGAGGAGTAGGTCTGTACATCAAAGAGGTTGTACTAACATCACACATAATAAAAGTTTTTGAAAGAGTGATTAGGAATCAAATTTCTAGTTTTATGGAAAATAATGAGCTACACAACCCAGGACAACATGGATTTAGAGCGGGAAGAACCTGTATATCACAGTTACTCAACCATTATGATAAAAAAACAGAAGCCTTAGAAGAAAGCAAAATGCAGATGTTGTATACACAGACTTTGCAAAGGCATTCGACAAATGTGACCATGGAGTGATAGCACACAAAATGAGGTCAGTGGGAATAACTGGTAAAGTAGGAAGCTGGATACACGACTTCCTGTCGAACAGAACACAAAGAGTAACAGTCGACCAATTGCCTCTGCTGAAGACATTGAAAAACTACAAGCAGATATTAACAAAGTTTTCGATTGGGCAGCAGAAAATAACATGTTTAACAGTGATAAATTCCAGGTACTCGGGTACGGCAACAATGAGGATCTGAAACATTATACAGGTGTAACATACGATTGTTACGTTGTTGGGTAGATTAGATACACAGTGTTTAGTGAGTTTCATATTTATTTAGTAGTCTTGGTTACAGTAGTCGGTCGTTGGCATTGTCATAGGCGTTCAGATGGAGCTTGGAGCAGAGGGGAGAGCTGAGTGAGGGCCAGAGTCGCGGAGCTCTATGCGGGAGAGCGTGGCGGCTCGATTGGGAATCGTGAGTGTCTAAACTCAATGAGGAGCGAGAGCGTTGTAGTTCGATGCAGTCGTGGTGTGCTGTCTGCTCTGTGTCGAAGCTGTAGTGTCTTGGGGTCGATTAGAACTGTACACGCCGAATGCTGCATTCTTGCGGTTGAAGAGGTGAGGTAAATCCAAAGCGTCTGTACTGGAGTTATCTGACTCACTGTGGAAATTGTACTATCGGCTATTCGATTGATAAAGATTAAGCCATCCAAAAGGTGGCACGGGCATGAATAGCCCGTAAGTCGGCTATTCGATTGATTGATTGATGAAGATTAAGCCACCCAAGAGGTGGCAAGGGCATGAATAGCCCGTAAGTGGTGGCCCTTTCGAGCCATTACCAGTATCAAAAGATGATACTGGAGATCTGTGGAGGCGCAACTGCACCCTGCATGATGGGAGATGTCTCCCGGACCAAGTGGTGACCAAATGGTCCAACGGCTATTCGCATATTGCTTGCTTATATTTGGTGACTACACCTCAGTTTCCCCCAACAGGATAAAAAGAATGTTACCTGTAATTAGGGAAAGGATTTGAGTGGTCATAATTAGTGCTCATTAGTTTGTCATTAAGGTAATGAGAGACGGAGCGAATATAAGGTTTACTCGTTACACAGGGTATAAAACACAATCGAATCTGCCCATAGTAGGAAAACAGCATGTCAAGGATTTGGGAATAATGATGTCCGACGTCCTAACGTTTAGGGAGCATAACCAAGCAAATATTGCGTCAGCCAGAAAAATGATAGGATGGATTACGAGAACTTTCAAATCCAGCGATCCCATCACAATGGTTGTACTCTTCAAATCACTTGTGTTGTCCCGTTTTGAGTACTGCTCAGTACTCACTTCCCCCTTCAGAGCAGGAGACATTGCTTAAATAGAGGGAATACAGAGAACATATACGACACGCAAAGACGCGATAAAGCACCTCAATTATTGGGATCGTCTCAAAGCTCTCCAAATGTACTCACTAAAAAGGAGACGAAAGAGATACCAAATAATATACATATGGAAGATACTGGAGGGCCAGGTCCCAAATCTGCACAGTAAAATAATAATGTACTGGAGTGAACGATATGGAAGAAAATGCAGAATAGAACCAGTGAAGAGCAGAGGTGCCATAGGCACAATCAGAGAACACTGTATAAACATCAGAGGTCCGAGGTTGTTCAACGTCCTCCCAGCGACTATCAGAAATATTGCCGGAACAACTGTGGAAATCTTCAAGAGAAAACTAGATTGTTTTCTAAAAAAAAGTGCCGGGCCGTAGTGGGTATGTGGGCCTGCGGGCCGCTCCAAGCAACAGCCTAATGAACCAAGCTCAGGCCAAGGCCAGGTTTGATTTGCTCCAAGCAAATCAGGCCTGGCCTTGGGGCGGGCTTGGGGAGTAGAGGAACTAACTCCCAGAACCCCAGCAAGCAGGTAAACAGGTATATAATATAACTTGTACATTTGTATATAATAGTTGTAAATATAACTGTAGTGAAAGCGGAAATATGTGCATTTTTATAGTTACTCGGTGGCTAGTTCAGGGAATGTGAAGCCCTGCACATCAGCCAATCAATTGTGTAATTAATCTGCATATATGCTAATTAACTTTAAAGTTCTATATGTCAGGAGAAAGTCAAATGCAGACATTAATGTGACTACATTTCAAGAAATATATATCGTGAATGAAAGCCAAGATATGGTTAATAAATAATACCACACAGTTGCTGATGTCCGTGACACATGAAAACCACCAAGTCCAGCGAGGCGGAAACGCAGGCTGCACAATTCTGATAAATTGTGTAATTCACAGAGATGCGTTGATAAACATTAATGTTTTATATGTTAGGAACTAAACATTCACGTAGCCTTTCTTGACCTCCAAGCTGCTTTTGACTCAGCTAGTAGGGAACTCATCCTAGAGCAACTAGCTTTTTATGGAGTCAGGGGAGTTTTATTGAATTGGATTAGGGGTTATTTAACTAACAGAACTGCCGCATTCATCTATAAGGGGTTAAGAGTAGCTATAATGTCTCCTTTGAATTTGGCAAACCTCAGGGAGGAGTCCTCAGCCCCATGCAGGAGACTTCCTCCTGGCAGTACCCATGTTGACAATGGGCACGCGTCTAGATCCAGCATCCCTTCGTGTAGCAGCGGCCCTCCGCCTTGGTGCCTCAATTCACACTGAATACAAGTGTATTTGCAACAGGGTGGAAGCGGACCAATATGGACTGCATGGGTTGCATTGCGGAAGCACAAATGGCTGGCATGCAAGACACAACGAGGTCAATGACATTATCAAGAGAAGCCTCGTCTCAGCTAGGTGCCCAGCGGAGAGAGAACCTCGCATCCTAGGAGTCCAAAACCCGGATTTCCCCGCACTTCGCCCTGATGGCATCACCATATACTCCTGGAAGGAGGGTAGACAGTTGGTGTGGGACTACACAAGTGTATCCACCCTGGCTGACACCTATGTACACTTTGGTGCTGATCAAGCAGGTGGGGCGGCCAGCCACAGGGAAATAGCAAAATCAGTCAAATACAGGCGATTGGAAGGTCAATACACCTTTGTTCCCATAATGTCAGAGACGCATGGCCCCTGGGGTAAGAGTGCCTTGGGATTTCTCAAGGAATTGGGCTCCAAACTCATTGACGTCACCAGAGACCCGAGGGCTGCCAGTTTTTTGTTTCAGCGCCTCAGTGTGGCGATCCAGAGGGGAAACGCCTGCTGCATCCTCGTTTCCTGTCCGGAAGCGGAGGAGCTTCAAGAGATCTATAACCTTTAAGCACTCTTTGCATCAACCAATGTATATCTTGCAACCTTTAAATACATAAAAAAGTAACAAAAAAAAAAAAATGAAAAGGAAGGGGGAGGTAGGAGAAAAGCACACAGAAACTGTATTGGAGGGGACCTAAACATTCCCTTTAATGCGTTATGTGTGATTTCCTCCGTGGCTAAGGGTCCCCTTCTTCCAGCCAGAGGTGGTACTCCATAAAGAAATAAAATAATAACAACAACAACAACAATAACAATGACAATGATGATAATGATAATAATGATAATAATGATGATAATGATGATGATGATGATAATGACGATAATGATGATAATGATGATAATGATGATGATAATGATGATGATAATGATGATGATAATGATGATGATGATAATGATGATAATGATGATGATGATGATAATGACGATAATAATGATAATAATGATAATAATGATAATAAAATGATAATAAAGATGCTAATAATGATGATAATAATGATGATAATAATGATGATAATAATGATAATAATAATGATAATAGTAATGATAATAGTAATTATAATAATAATTATAATAATAATTATAATAATAATTATAATAATAATTATAATAATAATTATAATAATATAAATAATAATAAATAATAATTATAATAATAATTATAATAATAATTATAATAATAATTATAATAATAATTATAATAATAATTATAATAATAATTATAATAATAATATAATAATAATTATAATAATAATTATAATAATAATTATAATAATAATTACAATAATAATTACAATAATAATTACAATAATAATTACAATAATAATTACAATAATAATTATAATAATAATTATAATAATAATTATAATAATAATTACAATAATAATTACAATAATAATTATAATAATAATAATAATAAAGGAAACGTTGCAAGGCGGGGAAATACCAGTGAAAAAAGTGAGGGAGGCAGTAATGGTGGCAGCCAACCTTGCCACATTACTCCTATCATACACTCATCCTTCCCATCCTCGACCAAGCCAAATATTACGTCATAATGTTTACTCATTATATATAGTTTTTACTTTTTGTTTTTATTTTTATGTAATGGTTGAGTTATTCCTGAGGATTGTATTGAAGATATGTGGGTGAAGTTGGCAATGGTGGTGTATGTAAACAGTGTGAGTGTGGCGGCAGAGGCAGGCAGCACGTGAGCGCCGCTACAATACAACAATACAACACTATAACAACAACAACACCACAACATGGGTATAGTGGAGAGGAGACTCAAGGTCTTCTACAAGAAGACCAAGAAGGGCAATATAATAAAGGTCAGTTACATAGAGTTTAGTACCATTAAGTATTGTGGCCAAGAGGTGGATTGTATTGTGTACAATCCACAAGGCACAGCTACTGAAAGGCACAAGTATTGTGCCTTTCAGTAGCTTTACAAGGGTGCACTCTATCTGTTTATATACAAGAAGGTACATGGAGTTGTGAGAGTACATAACATTGATGTTCTTACAGTCTTGCAAAACCACTAACATGCAAAGCGTTTCTGGCAGGTCCTTAATCCAACAAATAAGTTTATTAGTCCCCGTGGTGTAGTGGTTAAGATACTCGCCTGACATTTCGCGAGCGCTTCGTCCTGGGTTCGTATCCTGGCCGGGAAGGATTTACTGAGCGCAAATCCTTAACTGTAGCCTGTTTAACCCAACAGTAAAATGATTACCTGGTTGTTAAATGATTTTACGCGGGACGTATTCCAGGGAACATAGGATTAAGGACCTGTCCGAAATGCTACGCATACTAGTGGCTGTACAAGAATGTAAGAACTCTTGTATATATAAATAATTCTTCTTCAAAAAATAAAAAAATTCTACTTCAGTTCAATTTGTGCTTTTAATCAAAATTAATTTTAAGTCTTAGTTTTTATAATTATTTTTCCACATCTTGCCCAAAAAACTGTGCGTACTAGTGGCTTTAGGATTGTATATGCTAGCCTAAATGGGGGTGTCTGCTGCATGGGTGACAGCTTCTCAATATCAACCTACCCTGGCTTTGCACCCTGAAGAGGTCACTCCAGACCGACAACCAGAGCGCAACTCCATATTCTCCTGAGACTGATGGATGCCTACTACTACTACTATACTAGCTCTATCTAGAAATCCAACATTCTGCATGTAACTCATTATGTATGTATGTACCTTTCCCTAAATAAAATTATCATCATTATCAGGTACATCATAGCAAAATTTGAGTTCAACATAATTACAATGTAAATTGATGGAAATGATTACACTGGTGAAGTTGCATGTCATAAGTACTAATATTGGGGAAGAGGGGTAGCATAGGATACAGTGAGAGCTGGAAGCACAAGATATGCTATGAGGATGAAATTAGGTACTTTTTGGTTTTACTTTTGAATAAGGCATAGATTGGATTTTTTTTAATTCATTAGGAAGTGAGTTCTATAGACTGGGTCCTTTTATTTTCATGGAGTGTTTGCACTGATTTAGTTTTAGTCTAGGAGATATCAAAAAGATATTTCTGGTGTGGTGCTCATGGATTATATTACATCTACCAAGGAAGAGTTTCAGCTCAGAAATTAGCATTCGGGAACAAGGTTTTGTATGTGTAAATAGCACAAGAGAATGTGTGTAGTGTGTGTTTAGCATGTTTAGGGATTTAAACAGAGGTGGCTGTGTGTTGTCCGAAAACAACACACAAGTATTCCCAGGGGAAATACGGAGGTTACCATGCAATTCTGTTTTCAGTGAACCCCTGAACATATTGCAGATCAGTGATCCAAAAATTTGTTCTATGAATGTGACACCACCATCGAACCATATGTCAGATATGACTCTAACCCCACTTGACTTTGAAGTAGTCATAGACAACATACCCTTGCACTCTGTACCAGTCCCAGACCCCTGGAATTCTATACAGTATTCATCAAGAATTGCAAAAAGCCACTATCACAGGCCATTTACATCTTTTGGAGACGGTGCCTAGATACTGGTGTTAACCGTGGCATTCTGGAAATGGCAGAGATTGTGCCACTTCACAAGAAAGTAGTAAAGCATATGCAAAATATAAATAACTAACATCACACAATTAAAAATCTTTGAAAGAGTGCTAAGAAATAAGATCACAAAACACATGGAATCACAATGTCTACATAATCGTGGCAACATGGGTTCAGAACAGGGCGCTCCTGCCTCTCACAGTTGCTAGACTACAACGACAGGGTCTTAAATGCCATGGAAGACAAACAAAATGCTTATGTAATATACACAACTTTCACAAAATGCTTTTAACAAATGTGGCCATGGTGTTATTGCACATTCAATGTACACAAAAGGAATTGCTGGCAAAGTAGAAAGACGGATCTTTAATTTCCAAACAAATAGAATGCAAAGTGTAATAGTCAACAAGGTAAAATCTGAATCATCCACCGTGAAAAGCTCAGTCCCTCCAAGGTACTGTGCTTGCTCCTGTACTTTTCCTCATCTTTATATCAGACATATGAAGTCTGTCTGAAACATGTTACTTTGAGGTAAGCCAGAAAGAGGTCCAATGTAGAATGAGAACACAGACGACATTACAAAAGAAGGAAGAAATTAAGGGAAATGCTTAAGCAGACACGACTCTCCATACAAAGAAGAAATAATTTAAACAGGGAGATTGAAGAAATCGAATAGAGACTGAAGCATTCCTATCAGACTGAAGAAAGGCAACTAGAACAGAAAGCAATTCAAGAAATAAAGAAAAAAACAAAATATTTCTTCACATATGCTAAATCAAAAGCGAAAACCACTGCCAGTATTGGACCTATTCATATTAGTGAAGGTTCATACACTGAGGATGACAAAGAAATTGGTGAAATCCTAAAAAAGCAGTATGAGGACATGTTTAGCACTCCGATACACAGCATGAAAGTGGAAGATTCGGACAATTTCTTTATGAATGATATTCAAACACCTGTAAATATAACTGATATCAACACGAGCGTAGCAGATTTTGAAAGAGAAATTGACAATATGCCCATGCACTCAGCCCCGGGTTCAGACTCATGGAATTCAATATTTATAAAGAAATGCAAAGTGCCAGTAGCACAGGCACTCAGTATAGTGTGGAGGAAGAGCTTGGACACAGGGGAGATACCAGATGCGTTTAAAGCAGCAGACATTGCCCCTCTACACAAGGGTGGTAGCAAAGCATTGGCAAAGAATTATAGACCAGTTGCACTAATGTCCCACATAAAAGTATTTGAGAGAGTGATCAGGAGTCAGGTCACTAGGTTCATGGAAACCAATGACCTCCACAATCCAGGCCAACATGGATTTAGAGCAGGAAGATCATGCCTCTCACAGCTACTTGACCACTATGACAAAATCACTGAGGCATTAGAAGAAAAACAATGCAGATGTCGTATACACAGATTTTGCAAAGGCATTCGACAAATGTGACCATGGAGTGATTGCACACAAAATGAGGTCAATGGGTATAACTGGTAAAGTACGACGCTGGATACTCAATTTCCTGTCGAACAGAACACAAAGAGTAACAGTCAATCAAGTAAAATCGAGTCCGAGCGCAGTTAAATGCTCTGTACCTCAAGGTACAGTCCTTGCACCACTGCTGCTCCTTATTCTCATATTAGATATAGACAAAAACACGAAGTCACAGCTTCGTGTCATCCTTTGCAGATGATACAAAAATCAGCATGAAAATTACCTCTGCTGAAGACATTGATAAAGTACTAATAGATATTAACAAAGTTTTCGATTGGGCAGCAGAAAATAACATGATGTTTAACGGTGATAAATTCCAGGTACTCAGATACGGCAAAAATGAGGATCTTAACCACTGCACTGCGCAAAGCGCCTTTAGCGCTCAGAGAGTTGTGCTCTTTGTTTTTTAATTTGGCTATATTTTAATGTTTTTTAATGTTTTCATTACTATTTGTGTTTTGAAATGGAAATAGTTGACTTTGGAAACATTTTGACATTAAATTTACCTGAACATTTGTAAAAATAACAAAATATGTCCTTGACAATTGCACCAAGACGTTTTTTGCCGAAAATAGGTGAGCAGTGCAAGGGTTAAACATAATAAAGGGTACAAAACACAATCAAATCTGCCCATAGTAGGAAAACAGCATGTCAAGGATTTGGGATTAATGATGTCCAACGACCTAACGTTTAGGGAGCATAACCAAGCAAGTATTGTGTCAGCCAGAAAAATGATAGGATGGATTTCGAGAACCTTCAAGTCCAGAAATCCCATCACAATGGTTGTACTCTTCAAATCACTTGTGTTGTCCCGTCTTGAGTACTGCTCAGTACTCACTTCCCCCTTCAGAGCAGGAGAGATTGCTGAAATAGAGGGAATACAGAGAACATATACGGCACGCATAGACGAGATAAAGCCCCTAAATTGTTGGGATCGTCTCAAAGCTCTCCAAATGTACTCACTAGAGAGGAGACGAGAGAGATACCAAATAAATACACATGGAAAATACTGGAGGGACAGGTCCCAAATCTGCACAGTAAGATAACAACGTACTGGCGTGAATGACATGGAAGAAAAAGCAGAATAGAACCAGTGAAGAGCAGAGGTGCCATAGGCACAATCAGAGAACACTGTATGAACATCTGAGGTCCATGATTGTTCAGCGTCCTACCAGCGAGCATCAGAAATATTGCAGGAACAACCATGGACATCTTCAAGAGGAAAGTAGATTGTTTTCTTCAAGGAGTGCCGGACCGACCGGGCTGTGATGGGTATGTGGGCCTGAGGGCCGCTCCAAGCAACAGCCTGGTGGACCAAACTCTCACAAGTCAAGTCTGGCCTCGGGCCGGGCTTGGGGGTTATCTTGAGGTTATCTTGAGATGATTTCGGGGCTTTAGTGTCCCCGCGGCCCGGTCCTTGACCAGGCCTCCACCCCCAGGAAGCAGCCCGTGACAGCTGACTAACACCCAGGTACCTATTTTACTGCTAGGTAACAGGGGCATAGGGTGAAAGAAACTCTGCCCATTGTTTCTCGCTGGCGCCTGGGATTGAACCCAGGACCACAGGATCACAAATCCAGCGTGCTGTCCGCTCGGCCGACCGGCACCGGGGAGTAGAAGAACTTCCAGAACCCCATCAACCAGGTATCAACCAGACATAGAGAAGGATACAAACTATAGTACTATATCATCCTTTGCAGATGACACTTGAATTTTCATGAGATTTTCATGTTAATCAAAATGTGGCCATGGAAAGTAACTCTCTCAGAAAGTAATATGATGTTTAATGAGGATATTTTCCAATTACTGTGCAGTGGAATAAACAAATACATCAAAGCAGATTCCTCATATAAAACAGTCAAACCACACTATTGAAAGAAAAATCAATGTAAAAGATTTAGGAATAATCATGTTGGAAGACCTTACTTCTAAAGAACACAACAAAGTTGCTGTCACAACTGCAAGAAAAATGAGGGGTTGGATAACAAGAACTTTCCAAACAAGGGATGCCACACCAATTATATTTTTAAGAAATTAGTACTCTTAGAGTAGAATATTATTGACACTAACAGTCCCATTGAAAGCGGAAGAAATTGCTAACCTGAAAATGTGTGTGCAAAGATCTTTTACTGCTAGAACCCATTCAATAAAACATCTAAATTGTTGGGACTGCCTATAAATTTTAAATCTGAATTCCCTATAGAGCAGGTGGGAGACATGTACTGTATAATAATTTACACTTACACATTTAATATTGGAAAATATTAAAAGGACTGGTTCCAAATCTGCACCCAGAAATAACATCACACAAGACCAGAGGCATGGCAGAATGTGCAAAATAGCCACATTGAAAAGCAGAGGTGCAATAGGCATGCCATGAGAGAATCCATCAACATCAAAGGGCCAAGACTTTTCCACATGCTTCCTTTACTCGCACTGGGCATAACTGGCTGACACACCTCTCACAGTGTGCAAAAGAGAACTCGATAAGC